TATATCAAATGACTATTTCTCATTTTTTGTGTGTCAAATAATTGTCTCTTTTTTTTTGTGTGTCAAATAACTGTTTCCTTTTTATTGCTTTGTTTTGCCCTCGACTTTAGATCGATTATCCTGAAAGCTTTTCATTATTTTGGCAATCCTTTCTATCTATTATTTCGCTTCGGTCAAACCCACCAGGATCAAATTGTTCTTTCAAATCGCCGTCTTCCGCACATTTCTAACGGCATTCCCATACTTCGTTTTTTTTGGCTCTGGCTCTATTTTCGTAGCGATCTCCAACTAGGTATGTTGCATCCGCATCACCTGACTTGCCAGATCTTTGATGATAGGTGAAGGCTTTATTTTCATTCTTTTTAACTCCACCTTCATTTCGGTCACATTCACCGATATTCGTCGTATCTTTTTCGGCCTCGGCAGGTTCATTTTCGGTAGGTTCTTTTGCTTCTCTACTCTATCCGACCCTACTTCTAAATCTTTCAACTTTCTTTATCCACGATTCGCAAGCGTAATCCAGGTCTTTACTTTTTTTGGTAAGTTCTTCTACATCTTCTTTCTTTTCATCATCTTCTTCGTCTACAATCATCTCATCGTCATCATCATTATCTTCTTCATCTTCGTCAGCTTCGTTATCATCGTCTTCATCTTCAGTTTCACCTACGATTTTTCTGATTCTCGCGAGTACATTTTCCTCATACTTTTCACTTTTTTCTTCTTTAGTTTCTTTCTTTTCTTCTCTTTTAACTTCAACTTCTTTTTCTTCGGCCTTTTCAACTCCAGCCTCTTCCTTTTCAACTTCAATTTCTTTCTCTTCTTTAACCTCCTTAACTCCAACTTCTTCGCAGTAAGGTCCAACTGGGTATGTTTTTTCGGCACCTCCTATTCTAGCAACCTTTATGCAATCATCGGGTAAGTCATTATTTTTTCTTCAGCTTCTTTCTTTGTCGCCTTAACGTCACTAACTTTCTTTTTCTCACTTCCATTTTTTGTCTTTTTCTTTTTCGGGGGCCCATTTTTGTGCGACAGCTTCACATTCGGCGATGAGCTTTTGAAGAAGAACTTCCAATTCAGTTTCTCGTTCTTCTTCCTTAGAGCCGAAGGCAATACTTTCAAGGGGTTCTTATGCGGATTTGTCGTAGTAGGTGTCGAATACTTAAGTTACAGTAGGTCTTGGTTTTCGAGACTTCGTGAGAACTTTCAGGACGGGACTACAGAAGGTACTAGAGGTGGATTCAATTGGATTTATGAGGGCAGGTGCACAATATTATCTTCTCTTTCGTCATCGCCATCGGGATTGTTATCCTGGCTAACATCTGTTAATATTTTAAAAAAATATTCTAGAGCTTGTGGGTCATAAAGACTACGGTCTCTTATGGTTTCATCAACCATTTCCTGGACTTCCACGCAGCTGCTTAAACCGATCTCTTAATGGGATATTGTACGATCTCATAGTCATCACCAAAATGTTATAGGCGGAATTGCTGCGACTCGGTTGCTTCACAATCCAAAAACTCGTATAACCTGCGGGTAGTAACCTTACGAAAGAGGTGTGTTAGATTTGGCTGATGGGTGATTTAAGGCTTCAGTTACTCTGAGTCAGCAACGCTAAGTCACGTGGACAAGGGCTTTAACGAACGACAAATTATAACTTTAGGGTTCAAAAGTGTATTTGCGCAATAGTATTTTTATATAATGTTATATGCAATATATTTGATAACTTTGAGACTTGGTTATTCGTGAAGCAAACGAAAACATCTTTTTCTTGGGGTGATAACGCTTTTATTTATAATAAACTTTACTTAGGACTTATTATAATCAATAAATCCCATTTACATATTTTCTTTACTAAACCCTCAAATCTAATTAAACCTTTAAACTATAAAAAACCCTTCTACTCATAAAAGCTAATAAACTGTCTTTAGAGAATTTGCCTGTTTTCTCCGTTATACCTGATTTCCCCATTATACCGCCAGCAACTCTATTTTAGGCATTAGATCGGCATAACTGTGAACATCGTAAGCTTGGCGCAGCTCGTACCGATCACAGGTTTCGTACCTCACAATATATAGAAAAAGTGAACTAGTCATTTAACATACGGAAAAAGAAAAACAGTCATTTGACACACAGAAAAAAGTAGAGTCATTTGACATACAAAAAAAAAACAGTCATTTGATATACAGAAAAAAGAGACAGTTATTTGACACGCAAAAAAAGAGATATAGTTATTTGATACATGAAAAAAGAGAGACAGTTATTTGACACATGAAAAAAGAAAGACAGTCATTTGACATACAAAAAAAGAGAGACAATCATTTGACATGCAAAAAAAGAGAGACAGTCATATGACATGCAAAAAAAGAGAGATAGTCATTTGATATATGAAAAAAAGAAACAATATTTAACATACAAAAAAAAAGACAGTCTTTTGATACATGAAAAAAAAAGACAGTCAGTTGACATGTGAAAAAAGAGAGATAGTCATTTGATATACAAAAAAAAAAGACAGTCATTTGACATATGAAAAAGAAAGACAGTCATTTAATACATAAAAAAGAGAGACAGTTATTTGACAACAAAAAAAGAGAGACAGTTATTTGACTCATAAAAAAGAGAAACAGTTATTTGACATACTAAAAAAAAAAAAACAGTCATTTAATACATAAAAAAAAGAGACAGTCATTTGACACGCAGAAAACAAGAGACAGTTATTTGATATACAAAATAAAAAAGACAGTTATTTGACATACAAAAAAAGAGAACAGATATTTGATACACAAAAAAAGAGAGACAGTTATTTGACACACAAAAAAAAAGACAGTTATTTGATATACAAAAAGAAAAACAGTCATTTGATATATGAAAAAAAGAAACAGTCATTTGACATGTGAAAAAAAGAGACAGTCATTTGACATACTAAAAAAAAGAAACAGTCATTTGATATGTGAAAAAAAAGACAGTTATTTAACATGCAGAAAAAAAGAAACAGTTATTTGACACACAAAAAAAAAAGACAGTCATTTGACACACAAAAAAAGAGAGACAATCATTTGACACACAGAAAAAAAAAGACAGTCATTTAACATATGAAAAAGAGAGACAATTATTTGACACACAAAAAAAGAGAAATAGTCATTTGATATATAAAAAAAGAGACAGTCATTTGATATACTAAAAAAAGAACCAGTTATTTGATATGTGAAAAAGAGACAGTCATTTGATACGCAGAAAAAGAGAGATAGTTATTTGATACACAAAAAAAGAGAGACAGTTATTTGATACATGAAAAAAAGAAATAGTTATTTGATATACAAAAAAAGAGAGACAGATTTGATACACAAAAAGAGAGACAGTTATTTGATATACAAAAAGAGAAACAGTCATTTGATACATGAAAAAAGAAAAACAGTCATTTGATATACAGAAAAAGAAAGACAGTTATTTGACATATAAAAAAGAGAGACAATTATTTGATACACAAAAAAAAGAAACAGTCATTTACATATAAAAAAAAGAGACAGTTATTTTATATACTAAAAAAAAGAGACAGTTATTTGATACGTAAAAAAAGAGACAGTCATTTGATACACAGAAAAAGAGAAACAGTTATTTGACACACAAAAAAAAAGAGACAATTATTTGACACACAAAAAATGAGAAATAGTCATTTGATATA